GTTTAGTTAGGGGGCCGGGGTAAGGATTATGGGCTTATATAGGGACGGGGTGGGTTGATGCTGACCGTCAGATCTAATAGGATGAGTGGTCAGGATTTATTCACTGAACCAAACGACGTCGTTTGGCTTAAGTTTGGGGGAACGGGTTGAACCGGGTGTTGGATCGGGTAAGTATTGTGGGTTAGGGTGATGAGATCTCATCCGTTGATTGGATTTGATCGAACGGTCCATGATGAACCACGACCAAACGCTGTCGTTTTGACTCTTTTGGACTGGACCGGACCTGGGTTGTTTGGATTGGGCTGTNGGGTGATGAGATCTCATCCGTTGATTGGATTTGATCGAACGGTCCATGATGAACCACGACCAAATGTTGTCGTTTTGACTCTTTTGGACTGGACCGGACCTGGGCTGTTTGGATTGGCTGTAGGGAGGGGTTAACTCGATTTGGGCCTGGATTTTAATCCCGGCCCGATTTTGTGNTTATTTTATTTTTTGATTTATTTTGGAGTAGTTTTCGTTAAGGCAAAAATCACGTGCTCACAGTGATGAGAATAGCACATGCAAACAATGGATCTGCAACTAAGTCACAAGTAGAAGCTCCAGCAAGTAACCACGAGTCCCAATCGAGCCCAGATGCAGCTTTGAAGGAACAAGATATAGGTGGGAAAGCAACTAAAGTGATTGAGATCAACACACAGCCGCAAGCCAATGGAACAGTAACACTAGCTGAAGAGACGAAAGAATGGCCAAAGGTGGAGGAGAAATCAGCATGAACGAGCTTATTGCGAAGAATAGAGCAATAGAAAATGGTATGAAACTAACCTATATTCCACCACAAGTGGTGGATGGCCAAGTTATTGTTCAATTAGATAAGGAAGAGGCTGATAGAGAAACGAAAAAATGGAAAGGGGCTCTAATTGTGTATGTACTGGGAGATTTATCAAGATACAATGTAATGAAAAGGTATATAGAAATTAATTGAAACACAATTCCAGATCCAGATCTATATATGCATCAGGATGGTATTACATTATCAAGTTTAAGACGATGGAGGATATGCAAGAAATTTTGTTAGCTGGACCATACACAATCAATAATAGGTCTATTATTCTTAAGCAATGGACAACTGATTTTGACTTTAAGAAGGAATTCCTCACTGAAATTCCTTTATGTATTAGATTTCCAAAACTTCCACTGAATTGCTGGGGTGTGAACTCACTAAGTAGAATAGCAAGTTCAATTGGCATGCCTATGTATGCTGATGAATGTACTGCTAAGCAATTGAGAGTATCCTATGCTAGGATGCTAATAGAGGTGGATGTGACAAAACCTCTGAAGGATGAAGTAATGGTTGAAGATTCAAATGGGAGGACCTTTTTGCAGCCAATTAACTATGATTGGAAACCTAAATTCTATGAAACATGGCAGGTCATTGGGCATAATTGCAAGCAAGAAGGGTGAGGACAGAAACAGTATGGTGAAACTATGAATGAAAAGAGAAAGCCTAAGAAGATGACACAGCAATGGGTGACTAAAGATAAAGGAAAGACACAACAAGCAGAACAAGAACATATGCCAGAACAAGAACTAAGCATGCAACAACAGGAGACTACAAGGGTAATGGAAGCAGGGCAAAGTTCAGGGGTGATCAAGATGAATATGCCAGTATTGCAAGAAGATCAAACACATAAATTTATGAATAAAAATCAAGAGGTGGAGAAGACAAGCCAAGAGTTTAATGATATCAATTTCCTAGTGCTTGGGTCAGTTCCACTAAAGAATGGGTTTCAAATACTAAGTAGAGAGGGGAATGGTGCTCACACCGTACCTCCTGATATAGGAGGTAAGGCAAAGAGATCATTATGAATTGGTTAGTGTGGAATATAAAGGGATGGAATAAAAGGTATAAGCAGAAAGAATTGATGAAAATCCTGAAAACAAAAAAAATAGGAATAGCTGCTATTGTTGAAACAAGGGTCAAAGAAAATAAAGCTGGAATTATTACTAGAAATATATCCATGGGATGGAATAGTTTGTATAATTATTCATCTGCTAGAAATGGGAGGATATGGGTACTATGGGACATAAATAACTATCAAGTAGTCAAGCTGAGGGAGACTGCTCAGATGATGCACTGTGAAATTACAGGAAGTGCATATCAAATAGACTGCTTGGTGACTTTCATATATGGTTTCAATACAATTGAACAAAGGAGAGGGTTATGGGAGGATCTGAAGACAGTAGTCCAAGGTATTACCAAACCTTGGCTAGTGATAGGGGATTTTAATGCAATACTGAGTTCAGCAGACAGAGATCAAGGTAATCAAGTTCAGCAAGCTGATGTCCAAGATTTTGTTGATTGCATTCAGATAACTAACCTAAATGAAGTGATATGGAAAGGGGATTACTATACATGGACCAATAAACAAAGAGTGGAAGATAGAATTCAAAGCAGAATTGATAGGGCATTTGGGAACTATGAATGGATGATGAAATGGGGTAATATAGTAGTGAAATATGAACTGCCAGGGATATCAGATCATGCACCAATGTTGCTGACCATGGGAGAGGAGCAGAATAATACTAAGTGTCCATTTAGGTTCTTCAATGTTTGGGCAGATCACACAAATTTGATCAAATAGTAGAAGAAACTTGGAAACAACATAAAGACCCTTGGCTCATGAGGGGAATATGGAGAAAACTGAAAGCACTAAGAATCAGACTGAAGATATTGAACAATAAGGAATACAAAAATGTTGAACAAAAAATGGAAGAAGCAAGGAATGAAATCAGAAGAGTGCAGAGTCAGATGCAACATAATTATACTGATACTATGCAAGACGAGAGAAATGCATTACAAAAACTGGAAAAATGGTCAATGATTGAAGAGAGTATTATGAAGCAGAAGGCAAGGGCTAAATGGATACAGCTGGGAGATGCAAACATTAAGTATTTCGCAGCAGTAATGAAAGAAAGGAAGCACGGAAATCAAATAAAGGAACTGACAACTATGGATGGAAAGAAAATCAATAAACCAGCTAAGGTTAAAGAGAAGATAATTAGATTCTATAAGAGTCTAATGGGCACAACAGCAAAAAGACTTACAACAATAAATAGAACAGTAATGAACAAAGGGCCAATGCTGACTCAAGAACAAAGGCTGACATTATGTAAAGAAGTTACTAAATATGAAGTATTTGAGGGGTTAAAAGGAATAGGAGATGATAAGGCTCCAAGGATAGATGGATATAGTGTTGTGTTTTTCAAAAGAGCATGGCACATTATTGGCAGTGAAGTGACTACAGCAATACAAGACTTCTTCTCAACAGGAAGATTATATAGAGCCATTAACTGTACAACCATCACCCTAATACCCAAGGTATAATCTAACAACAATCAAAGAGTATAGACCAATAGAATGCTGCACAGTGATATACAAATTGATTTCAAAGATCTTGGTTGCAAGAATGCAGAAGGTAATTGGGGGGATTATATGTGAAGCACAAGCTGATTTTGTCCCAAGTAGGAAAATAGAAGATAATATTATTTTGGCTCATGCACTAATAAAGGGATACACAAGGAAACATATATGACCAAGGTACATGATAAAAATAGACATACAGAAGGCTTATGATTCTGTAGAATGGAGCTATTTGGAACAGAATACGAGGTTGATAGGATTCCTAGAAAGATTTATAGCTTGGGTGATGGAATATGTTAAAACAGTGAACTATACTATCATGGTGAATGGAGACCAACTGATCCTTTCAATGCTGAGAAGGGACTTAGACAAGGGGATCCTATATCGCCATTTCTATTTGCAATTGCAATGGAGTACCTAAGTCGAATCTTAAAGGAAATGGCAGAGAGGAAGCAGTATCATTACCATCCCAGATGTGTTAATTAAAACTAACTCATTTATGTTTTGCAGATGATCTTTTAATATTTTCTAGAGGAGATGTTGAATCAGTAACTGAGGTTCTTCAAAGTTTAACCAACTCTCAGATGCTTCAAGATTGCAAGCAAACATAGGGAAAAACTCCATTTATTTTGGAGGGGGTGGGGCAACAAGTCCAAGAGCAGATGCTGCAAACATTAGGATTTACAAGAGGAATGTTACCTTTCAAATATCTGGGAGTTCCACTGTCAACAAGGAAGCTAACAATGATACAATGGCAGCCCGTCATTGACAAGATTGTAACAAGAATCACTTCATGGACAACCAAAAAATTGTCATATGCAGGAAGAAGTCAACTGATAAGCAATGTTTTGTTTGGAGTCCATTCCTATTGGGCCCAAGTGTTCATACTACCATGTGATGAAAGCAGTGGAGAGTTTTTGTAGAAGTTATCTTTGGACAGGAAACAATGTCATTACTAAGAAAGCATTAATCAGTTGGGAAAGAGTTTATTGTCCTAAGAGCAATGGAGGATGGAACTTCATTAACATGAGAATCTGAAACAAGGCAGCTATAATCAAACTATATTGGAATTTAGCAAAGAAAAAGGATAGAATGCGGATAAGGTGGATTCATGCATACTATATAAAAGGTAAACAGATGGAGCAAGTAAAAGTTCCACAACAAGCAAGTTGGATGGTGAGGAAAATAATAGAAGCCAAACATCTATTAGAACAAAATAATGTACATATTTGCAGGGAAAAAAGAGACATTAAACATATATATCTTCAGCTACTAGGTGATCAAACAAGAATGACATGGAAGTGTTTGATATTTGGTAATGCTGCAAGGCCAAAAGCTAAGTTCAAAGTGTGGTTGCAAATGCAGAATATGCTACTTACTGTTGACAGACTGAACAAATGGGGAATACAGGTAGAAAGCAAATGCAGCTTATGTCAGAGAGAAGAGGAAACAAGAGATCATCTCTTTGTGGAGTGTGACTATACAAAAACAGTAATGCAAAAGCTGATGCACTGGACACAGAACCAAAATATAATAGCAGCTACCTGGGAACAACATGTGTATGAGTTGATCAAGAGAGCTAAAGGCAAAACAAAGGAAGCTCAACTATTCAAGAGATATATTCTGAAGTAGTACATAGTATATGGATAGAGAGGAACAAAAGAATTTTTGAGAAAATAAGTATAAGATGGGAGATGATAACTAAAGAGGTAGCTTGTGTTTGCTATGTACGAGCTCCTCCTAGATTAGTTGATATAGTTCAAAGATATAGATTTTAAAAATGTAGGAAGAGTAGAGCATCATGTAAATATGATAGCTTAGCTATGTTAGCTAGCTACGGTAATTTGTAAAATTTACTGGTGATTAATAAAAAGTTAGTTACCAAAAACAAAAGATGAGGTAGATGTCAAATAGCCATTTATATTAAGGTCATTCATATAGGCTTATAGCTACCATATAAGTTCATTGACTAATATGGTTGTAGTCATATAACCTATGCTAATTATATCGTTGTGATTCATAGTAATATCGACCGCTTGTATAATAGCCTATTATATTAATTTCATTCATTAAGGTCATTCGTATCGGCCTATAGCAACCATATAAGTCCATTGACTAATATGGTTGTAGTCATATAACCTATGCTAATTATACCGTTGTGATTCTTAGTAATATCGACCATTTATATAATAGCCGTTTATATAATTTAATTCATTATGGTTGTACGTATCGGCCTATAGCAACCATATAAGTCCATTGACTAATATGGTTGAAGTCATATAACCAATGGTAATTATATCATTGTTGTAAGCACGTGATTTTTGCCCTATATGAGAATTACTCCCAAAAATTCCAAAAAAAAAATATAAAATAATTTTTGTTTGTTTGCAATTGTTGTGAATTTTGTGTTATTTTTCTTGTATTGTTTGCATTTGTATGTGCATGTTTATTTGCTAAATTAATAAAAAAATACAAAAATATGTCACATTTGCATTTAGGATTTAAGTTTGCAATTATGAGTAATTAAGTTTGTTTTACAAGAATGAAAATTACAAAAAATAGGCATCTTTTGCATTTTTAGCCTGTAATGTCCAAATTGTGTGATTGTATTTTAATTGTCATTTTATTTTATATGATAATTATTGCTAGAAATTAATTAGTATTTTTAATAAGTTAATTTAGTTTATAACTTAATTTAGAATTTTAGTTTTAGAAAGTAAAAGAAAAGAAGTAATAAAAGAGGAAGAAAATCGGATTGGGCCACCTTCTAATTTAAATCAACCATGGCCCAAACCAAATAAACTCCTACCGGGTCGACCCGACCTGGTCCGCCCCATAACCCCAAACAAACACCCCTCATTTCTTCCATTTTTCATTTTTTGAAAAAAAAATTAGAAAAAATTAAAAAATTAAAAACCTAAACCTAAAAAACCTAAACCACCCGCCCCCCTCTCCTCTTTCATATTCCCCAACCTCACGTCCCATGACTGCCCCTTCCCCCTCACCACCATCTACTCCAAACGACCACTAGCCCACGACGAACAACACCCTTCTCCGTCGTCGTTCTCTCGTCTACACACACAGCACTCCGTTGGTCTCAGTCGCGAGCACCCCCCCTCCGTATGCCATTGACGAGCAGCAGCGCTGCTGCGTTGAGCCCCAGTCCACCCTTGATGCTTCTTCATCTTCATCTTCATCCTCACGACCAGCTGCTCCACCGTCAACCAAATAGTCCGTCGCATCCAATCACCGAAAAAAAACAGTCGACCACCCTCGCTGCTTCTTCTTCTTCTTCATTCAGCATCCATGAACACCACCCAAAGCACCATTGTTGCCCTCCCATAGAGCTCCAGCAGCCACTGGTGCTGTTTTACCTCAACACACACACGCGCACAGCCTCACGTCCAAACACATAGTTGTTGCTGCTTCACTCCTCTCTCGTCAAACTGCTACTCAACACACACACACGACCTCCTTCAACAGCCTTCCACGACCCACGCACACATATGGATAGAGCAACAACAAGAGGTCATTGAAACAAAGTGAGAGATAGACGGAGGAAAAGCGAAACAGTCCGGTTAAAGTCCGGTGAAGTTCTGTCAAGGTCTCGTTTGGTTTTGTTTGAGTCCGTCGTTGTTCGTCGTTCGGTGAGGTCCAGTATGAGTTCATCGAGGTTAAAAGAGAAGGTGGGTTTTCGTTGAGTCGAGATCCGGTACGTCGAGGTTGCTGTTCGAGTTTTCCGTTTCCGTTCGAGTTTGTCGTTGTTCATTTCTGGTTAGTTGGTTTAAGTTTCATTTCTGTCCGTACTTTGTTTGATATTCTCGGATTTGAAATCAGTATATGTTTGATTCCTTTCTTGTTCGTTGTTTTTCATTTCTTGATTATTTCTTCGGTTTGTTTTCATTCATTTGTTTTTGTTTAGTTTTAATATAGAAGGGTGCTAGTTTAATCGTTTGAATCATTCATCTTTCTTGTAATGTTGTTGGATTTAATTTGAAGATCAATTGATTGTGATTTGAATCTGTTTATTTGTTTTGTTTAAGTTTAATTTGAATTTGAGCTCAATGATTTGAATATACTTGTTTGTTATTGTTGTTGAATCTGAAAGTAGGTTTGTTGTTAAAAAATATTGTTCAGTCAAAATAATTCCAGTTGTTTCTTTGTTGTTCATCATTTAGTTTGAATTTATTGATTGAATTTGATTAGGAATTGGTTATAGCTGCTGTATTTTGGTTAGAATTGATTAGGTGAATTGGTTATAGCTGATGGGGGTAGAATGATAAATTACAGTATTTTCAGTAATTTCAGAGGGGTATTTTTGGAATTGAAAATTTGAACAATTATTTAATCTGAGTGTTCCGTCCACTAGGTACTAATAATATTAAATTAATATATTTTTTAATATGTAGTGGGGGACAAGACATAATGGTGGGGAATTAATACATTGTTTGATATAGTGGGGGACAAAACATGCGGTAGTGGGGAATAATGGAATTAAATAAGGAAAAGATATGTGTTAGTGGGAACTAATATATTTGTTTAATATAGTGAGGGACAAAACATTAAGTAGTGGAAGTTAAAGGGGGATGAGTGGAAGATGGTGGGATTTTAATTTTAAATGCTTGAAGTTTGACTATAAATAAGGGGTCTGGATATTGGAAGAAGGGGAGAATTTCGAAAATATAGGGGGAGGATTCCGAAAACATTGAAAGGGGATAGGGGATTGGTTGAATATTGAGAAAAATTTTCCAAAGGAGATTCGAAAGAGAGAGTAGTATACACCCGATATACAATCTGCATACACTGGATATACAGAGGGGTCAAGATTTAAGGGTTAAATATTAACTGGTCTTTCAATCTAAAAAAGATTCACTTTGTTTCTGTCCGTTGATTGTTGTTGGTGTTTCAGGATTTTCATTTGATTTGTTTCCTTGAGTTTGGTTGGTTATTTGCTACTACTTCACTGGTTGTTGCTGGATTTCTGCTCGGTTTTTAAATGTGTTGTTGGGTGTTGCTGTTGTTGTATGCTACTGCATTCCTGCTGATCTTCCTTTTCTTTTGCTTCCAATATCAGGTACACAACTGACACGCTGATTACTGTAAACTGAAACATGAAGCATGAATATGAAATGAAGAGTTGAAGTTCTGAATTTATCTTAGTTATATTCTGAATTTTATTTGTATATATACATTATTTAGCTTCCTCTAATCAGAATCATGTAGTTGTTTAATATATATAATGGAACATCTGACAGTAGCTTAGTGGACGAACTGTCTATGTATTGCCTAAAAAATAAATAAATGGTGTAGTAACTCTGTCCAGTTAGTTCGCTATTGTTGGATGATTATCATGTCTCAAAAAGCATGTTAGCTGATTTAGACTATTCTTAAACATTCAACAGTTAGCTCATTAAACGAATAGACCGTTTCGGAACTTGTAGGAATATTGTTTAGCTAGATACTATTGGTTAATTTCAGCATGTAAATGGTCTATGATTAAAATTAGATTGTCAAGTTTTTTTTTTTTTTTAATTTAACAACTCGTAAGCATGTAAATAAATTAGGACCTTTTCTCTTTCATTTTTTAGAGACAAATTTAATAGAAAAAATGNAAAAAATGTAGGCACTTTAGGATTATCCTTTTAAAATAAATGAGATGAGTCTCGCCCAATAAAACGCACAAGTTGCGGGGCCCTCAATAAATGATTAATAATTATATAGACTTCGGGATCGGTCGTTTAGCAAATTTCACGGCCTTACCCAAAATAATGATACGCTAGTCGCTTTAGGCGAGCCTTTAACAATTTATTTTCTTAAACTCGAGTGCACATTTATGTGGCCCAAATCCAAATCTCAACAGAGNCTCTGAAATAAATAAATAAATCCCGTTTCGATTGTCCTTTAATTGGAAAAAATTCCCTTTCGCGCACCTTTGCAGGCATCGCGGGCGAAAAAGGAGGTGTGACAGTTGTGATTCTCAGTAATATCCACCATTTTATATAATATCCATTTATATTAGTTTCATATATATCGGCCTATAGCAACCATATAAATCCATTCACTAATATGGTTGTAGTCATATAACCTATGATAATTATATCGTTATGATTCTTAGTAATATCGATCGTTTATATAATAGCTGTTTATATTAGTTTCATACATATCGGCCTATAGCAACCATATAAGCCCATTCACTAATATGGTTGTAGTCATATAACCTATGCTAATTATATTTTTGTGATTCTTAGTAATATCGACCGTTTATATAATAGTCGTTTATATTAATTTCATACATATCAGCCTATAGTAACCATATAAGTTCATTCACTAGTATGACCTTATTTATATAATAGTAAAAATATAATTCGACAAATTTTTATTGGTTAATCTTAATTATAATAATCTTCACCAAAAATCTTAATTATAATAAAAAGAAAATCATGATTAAATTTTAGAACTAAAATGTATTCTAACTTCTTTATTAGGAGGAAAAACAAGATGACATTTTTGGATTAAAATATCAAATACAATTTTCGGAGGGAAACAAAGGGAAAAGTAAAAATATGATTGAAGGGAAATAGAAAGTATTGAATCTTTATATATCTCTTAAACACTAGAACAACATTTCCAACTCTTAAAACAAAATAGATACTCTAAACATGAATACTAATAGATGGATTGAAGATGAATTCTATCCATGGTTTCGGGTGAACGTGTCCAAATCATACATCAAGCGCGATTATCTGGTATTTTTTTTTTAATATTTTCATGATGTGATAACTGTTGATTATCCCAACTTGCAATGAACCCCGTACCCTATCTTCACATTATGGTCTTGCAGTTTCTTACAAAGAGTATCTGTGGCATCTTCCTCCTATTTCGATTAAAACAATGCTTCGATATAATGGAAAGGAGTGGGTCGTGACTCTCACAAGTGATGTTCGGAGAAGATTCGTTAATGGGTAGAAACAATTTATTGTTGATAATAATCTGAAGAAAGGGAGTGTTCTTCTCTTTGAACTAGTTCAGGCTACATCAGAGGTTGTGATCTTCTCTGTTGAAGTGCTAGGATAAACTAATGCTTAGCTTGATAATTTCTTCTCTTTAGTTATATGTGTGAGCACGTGATTTTTGCTTTACGGAAACTACTCCAAAAGAAATCAAAAAATAAAACAAATTTCATCTGTGTACAATTTTGAGAATTTGCGTGACATTTTGGTAATTAGTTTGTCTGTAAATGTTTACCCTTGATGAGATTAATTAAAAATACAAAAATACATGTTGCATGCACATTCAAGATTTAATTGTACGTCTTGGAATTAATTGAGTCATGTTTTATGGAAAAAGAAAAAAAATTACAAAATATGCAGTTTTGTTGCATTTTGCCATTTATGTGTGCCGCTGTGTAATTTTGTTTTAATTAATTAAATATTTAACCTTGTGTGATAATTGTTGTTAAATTTTAATAGTGTTGTAGGATAATTTTGGTTTTACAAGTTATTTTTAGAATTTTATTGATTGTTAATTAAAAGTAGATGTCACACCTCCTTTTTCCGTCCCCGCAAGGGGTGAAGGAGTTTTTCCAATTAAAGGACAATCAAAACGGGATTTGTTTATTTATTCAGAGTCGCCACTTGGGAGATTTAAGGTGTCCCAAGTCACCAATTTAATCCCGTATCGAGGAAAAGAATGACTCTGTANTTAGGGTGTCCCAAGTCACCAATTTTAATCCCGAATCGAGGAAAAGAATGACTCTGTATTACAGTCTGCGTACCAGAAATCCGGATAAGGAATTCTGTTAACCCGGGAGAAGGTGTTAGGCATTCCCGAGTTCCGTGGTTCTAGCACGGTCGCTCAACTGTCATATTTGGTTTGTTTATCTGATTTTATACAATTATGAGCTCATGTGCAAATTTTTAACTCTTTACCGCTTTTATTATTATATTTTTAAAAGAATGTGAACATCGTTTAAAAACATGTCTTTGAATTGTGTCACATGAAATGCACCCGCGATCCGGAACGTATTTTTATTCAATATTTTGGGATTTGGATTTGGGTCGCATGAAATGCGCACCCGAGTTTAAGAAGGTAAGATTATTAAAATGCACGCCTAAAGCGATTAGCGTATTATTATTTCTGGGTAAGGCCGTGGAATTTTGCTAAACGGCTCATCCCGAAGTCTAAGTAATTTTAATTAAACATTTATCGAGGGCCCCGCAATTTGTGGGTTTCATTGGGCGAGGCTATCTCATTTATTTTAAAAGGATAATCCTAAAGTGCCTACATTTTTTCTATTGAAATTGTTTCTACAAAATGAAAGAGAAAAGGTCTTAATTTATTTACATGCCTGAGTTGTTATAATTGGGTTTCGAATATGATTCATAAATTCTGAAAATGATGCAAGCAGGGCAGTCCGTTGCCAATGCGGGCCCATGCTCAACGTATATGGCATAAACTAGACCTGGGTCGTCTTATTCACATGTTACTACCTAGTTACATTATACTAGGCATGTTCACAGTTTGTCAAATTTTTTTAAAAAAAAACTTAGCAATCTAATTTTAATTCTAAACCATTTACATGCTGAAATTAACCGATAGTAGTTAACTAAACCACATTCCTACAAGTTCCTAAATGGTATATTCGTTTGATGAACTAACGTGCTTTTTGAGACATGGTAATCATCCAACAATAACGAATTAACTAGACGGAGTTACTACACCATTTATTTATTTTTAGGCAATATATGTAGATNTTTTAGGCAATATATAGATAGTTCGTCCGTTAAGCTATCGTCAGATGTTCCACTATATATTTTAAACAGCTACATGATTCTGATTAGAGTAAGCTAAATAATTTATATATACAAATAAAATTCAGAATATAATTAAAATAAATTCAGAACTTCAACTCTTCATTTTTCGTATTCATGCTTCATGTTTCAGTTTACAATAACCAGCGTGTCAGTTGTGTACCTGATATTGGAAGCAAAAGAAAAGGGAGATCAACAGAAATTTAGTAGCATACAACAACAGCGACACCCAGTAACCAGCAACAACCAGCAATGAGAAACCAGTGACAGATTTTAAAACTCAAGATAAAAATCCAGATGCACCAACAACAATCAACGGACCGAAGCAAAGGGAATTTTTTCAGATTTGAAAGACTAGTTAATGCTTAACCCTTAATTTCTGAATCTGTATATCAGAATATTTAGATTGTATATCAGATGTATACTACTCACTCTTTTAATTTCTAGAATGTTTTTATTTGTATTTTTTGGAAGTTTTAATATTTTTGGAATTTTTCTCTCTCTTCAATATTCAGCTCTCTTTTTCTCTATCTCCTCCATTATCTCCTCTCTATTTTTCTGTCTCCAAAATCTGATCAAGTCTATCTTATTTATCTCTCATTCCCAACCCTTTAATCAATTAATAAAACAACCACTTTCTCTTACCAAACTCACTACTACATAAAAAAATATAATTATTATTTATTTAAACAACTTTTCTCGAGCCCCGCAATCCCACAATGTCTTGTTCCCCATTTTTGATTAAACAAGTGCATTATTCCCCACCATTATGTTTTGTCCCCCATCATGAGTTATTTTAATATTATTAAAAAAAATTATTTAATCTTAATGGACAGAGCACTCAAAATAAATATTTGTTCAGATTTTTAATTCCAAAAATACCCCTCCGACCTTACTAAAATTATCATTTTACCCCTGAAAATACTGCAATTTTCCGATCTACCCCGTTAGCTATAACCAATTCATCTAATCAATTCTAACCAAAATATAGCAACTATAACCAATTCCTAATCAAATTTTATGAACAAATTCAAACTAAATGATGAACATCAAAGAAACAACTTGAATTATTTTGACTGAACAATGTTTTTACATAACAAACCTATTTTCAGATTCACCAACAATAACAAACAAATATATTCAAAGCATGAGCTCAAATTCAAATTAAACTTTAAACAAAATAAATAAACAGATTCAAATCACTAAACTCAAATAATCAATTGATCTCCAAATTAAATCCAACAAAATTACAACAAAGATACATGATTCAAACTAAATCAAAAAATTAAAAACCAAAACATAAACTCACATTAAGTCACTGGATTAAAACGAACTTCAAAAATAGAAAAAAAGAACACGAATTAAATCTAAATTAAACAACAAAGAACGGATTCAAGCGATTTAAACTAACACTCTACTATATTAAAACTAAATCCTCTTAAATTAATAAAACAAACTGAAAAATAATTAATTGAATCTTCAACTTAAATCTAACAACATTATAATTAAACTAATCAATTTCTTCCTAAAACTAAACAAGAAAAATGAATGAAACAAACTGAAGAAAGATAAAAAAAACGATGAACATGAAATTAATACCAAACATATTAGATTTTAAATCCGAAAAATATCAAACAAATTATGGACAGAAACGAAACTCAAACCCACTAACCGGATCGAAACGACGAAGAACTTGAATGAAAACAAATCTGTCCGAAAACGATTATCGCACCAAAATCACTCGAATCTGCCCGAAAACTTAAACAATAGACGAAGCTCGATGTAGGGGTGTTTGGCGACGACGAGAACTGAAGCAGCAACAACAAAGCAGCCATGGCCGCGCGAAGCTGGAGAAGAAGAAGCATCGAGCAGCAACAACAAAGCAGCCATGGCCGCGCGAAGCTGGAGAAGAAGAAGCATCGAGCAGCAACAACAAAGTAGCCATGGCTGCGCGAAGCTGGAGAAGAAGAAGCATCGAGCAGCAGCAGTGACGGAGCAGCAGCCATGGTGCGACGAGATCTCGAGCTTGAAGATGCAGCCATGGCAGTGAGGATCTCGTCCATGGCTGGACGTAGCAGGAGAAGCAGCGACAATGATGAAGAAGAAGAAGCATCAACGCAACCGTGAAGGAGGAGAAGCAGCAGCGTGCGACGGGGTGGAGAAGAAGACGCAGCAGCAGCCATG